TCATTTCCAAGTGGACATTCCTCGTGTATGTATCACTGTAGTACTCCATGTAGATCCATAGTAATTGAAGCATTATTTATCTTTCAGTTGCATTTGCAAGCTTTGGTTTTATTGCTTTGTATGTAGCTGGTAAGCTGCATACATTTAGCCTAGTTGGCAAAGGACAATCGTGGAAATTATGTGCATTTATTTTACCAATTTTTATTGCACTTGGAATAGCGCTAAGTAGAACTTGCGATTACCATCATCATTGGCAAGGTAAACATACTTTTCCATGGCATCAATGAAACATCCTAATACTTCTAATTTTAGATGTGGTTGCAGGCTCAGTGATAGGATACTTTTTAACATACATCTGTTATAGACATTACTATCCACCTCTAGACTCACAAGTGTGCCATAAACCCTATGCTGTGCTTACTCTACAACCAGAAATTGGAAAGACCAGAAATGATCAGATCAAATGGATCTAATGTATTAATTACTTGAAAAATGAAACTACAGTATAATAGGACCGTATTCGTATAATATCTTTAACAGTTTTGCATTCCTAATTTATGCCTGTGTTATGTATATTTACGAACATACTAAATAATAACGATATTTAAGTTTCCAAAGCATGTATATTAAATGTATATATTTTTACATAAAATTAATTATTTTACCATTCAAATAGTCAGTTTCATTTTTATTATTATTATTATTGCGTTTTTATTATATTGCTCATTTGCTGCAACAAGAACATACGGAACTCGTTCCCCTAACATCATAATTTGTTATTTATGTTTCTTCCGTAACAAATGAACAATATAATTAATGAATGTATACCAGATAGAATGACGAGAAAGAAGCAGAAGATCGGGGTTCAACGACACAGTTATTAAATCAATCAGTTTTATCGAACAATAATTTCTCTTGATGCTAGATTTTTAAATCGTTTGAAATGTCGCGGTTCAAAGTGCGCAGAAACTTACAATAATCATATCGCGCGGCCAAACGCCATTTTGAAGGTGCCGCGTATGACGCGCCACCACATTGGTTTCAGTCAAAGACAGTCAAAGAGGAGCAGCGGTCGAGTTGATGGTGTTAGCGCTTCTCGTTAAACTTTTTAACTTGGCGGTTGATCGTATGTGTCTTTGTGCATCGTGGAATTCGGTCGAATATCTTCTACCTTAGTCAAAGAGGGATCAACATCGAGTTTCGTGGATCGCTCAAGAGCGAGTTGAAAATAATACGACCGTACACCTTTTTCCGCGGAAATTAACAGTTGTATCAGGTTTCTCAGCACCGTGAAGTGACATAGTTATTTACGAGCTGTTGTGTTGGTGAAATGTTGTCTCAACTTCCTGTACATGGCGAAGACTCGTGAGCGTCGTCGACCGTGTTGAATAGTCAAACGCCAGTGTCCGAAAGGTGTTTTATCCCTTTCTGAAAACCATTCGTCGTATCGACCTGTTTCTTGCAACCTAGATCAACGAGATCGTGCCAGTTGTGCGTGAAAATGATCAACATGGAAACGGATAAGATTATTGGCGACACAAACACAAATCTTCAGGTATGCAACATATACAGTAGAACTCTGCTTATTTGAATGAAATATCGTCTAAACGGCCGATTTATCGAGCTCGTTACCGATCAGCCTTTCGACTATTCACAGAATTATTACTAAGTAACGTTCCAGTTTCGCTAACGTCCCAGGTATCTTATTCCCTCGACAGGTTCGGTAAATGTATTAGTATTTTTGACCCGCCATTCTACCGCCATCTTATGTCTCCTTATGACAGAGAAATTCGCTAACATTTCTCGATCAGTCGTCAATTTTTTCAAAAAAACCTTATCAGTCGCATCTGACTCTCAGTATAACAAATTAATAGCACGAATTACGTTGCGCGCAAAACGGTGCAGGATTCTGTCGCACGCTAATGTCATCCACGATGATGATGATGATTGTGATCATTCGATGAAACCTCTTTTATCAAAAGTGTATTTACTCATATCTATCGGTGACAGTTATCGTATCATCTTTAGGGAATCCGTTATCGCGTACCTATTTCAGTATTTTCGTAACGAAAGCAAAATGATTCTGTATTTTCACAGTGGTTAATACCACAGTGTAGACTTTACCTATAATCCGTATCAACGAAGATGCGTATCAGAAACGCGAATCATACGATTTATGTGCTTCTGTCATTGAACATTTTTTTTCTTTTTTCAATAATTTGTACACACTGCTAAAATTCTGCGTTATCAACTAGACAATGTTTATACCGCGTCTGCGATGTACATATATACGTCCTTTTGGTACTTTTTTATATCCTGTTTATAAAGTCATATAGTGTATATTTATTCCCAAGCTAAAATTCAAATCGACACGCTACACATCTGATCGAATTATTTGTCAACGCTACACACGTCCGATCAATTTTCCGTAAAATCTAGCACAAGCAAGTGTAATCTCCAACTGGAAATCATATCACTCGATAACGTTTAATTAATAATCACTTAATTCGATCGGGTAATAATCGTCTTTGTTACTGAAACAAAGAAGAAAGACAGATGACTTGAATACACGTCTAATCTCAATTCCTGGTGAACTCTGAGAACAGCTTGCTACATAATCAATGTTTAGCTCCCGCTTCTCCCTTTCTGCTGTTTTTTCCGCTTTTACGATCTCATACCCTTTTTTAATGCTTCTTCCACGATAATAATAAATAATCGGCCAACATCTGCGATAGGATCGACTTTCGTTGAATTCGACACGTGACAATCAATTTTTTCTACCTCAGGTTTCGCGATTTAATCATTTTCTTGATCGATGAATGAGAATATTAAGGGCAATTGACGTTAAATATTGATGTAAATAAGATACAGAGACGTTAATCAATTAATTTTATGAAAGTGTCTTCGTAGGATACGTACAATCGTACTAAATGAAAACTAATATTCTACTTCATCTCGTGTCGTTACAGTGATATTGATTCGTACACACAATTGGATATAAGCCAAGAATGTTTAATTATGCGTACAAATATTTGGACCTGTTCTCCCTCCATCTATCGCATCTTAATTAAACTCGATTATTGGTTGCGGTAAATTTGTACTATTATACAAAGTAGAACTGTGCAAAAATTGATTAGGTTAAAGCTGACCCATTCAATGTAGAGCTTAAGCGAACAAGTGTTGAGAACTCGCATAAAGATCGTTAAGAAAGAGGAATAAGTTGCAGTTGTTGCATCAGAAGGTCTTGCGAATTTGAGAGTGTATCGTTTCCGACGATCCACCATTTACCATCTGCAGCGAAACAAAGGTTACGAGTGTATCACAATGCGTAGCCTCACTGGAACAATCATTATTTCATTTACCAGAATATTCGTCCGTTTTTGGCCAGTCGATAGAAACGTGTTCACGATCCCACCAATGTAAACGAACTCTCTGTATTGTGTCGCTGGACGAAACATGACTTGACGAAAAAGAAAAAATGAACGTAGCCCTCATATTTAGTGCCAGTGACTCATCATTCCGGTTATATTACTTACTACCGAGCCGCCAGACACGCTTTTAATTTTTCATTTTTAACTTCGGCCCGATTCGCGGCAAAAACGAAGAGGCTACACAGGCTCAGGACTCGAGGAAGCGGTATATCGCGACTATGAATTCACAACGGTCTCTCAGAACCGGATAAATTTGTGTACACGTATTCTTGAAACTTGTTTTTTCTCGGCTGCTTTTTCGCCGTGTATTTAGAAAGACAGGAAGAGAGATACGAGCAACCAAGGACTATGAGAATTTCGAAACCTTTTCCGGTTGCAAATATCGCTACAGGTTATAATGGCTACTCTATGCTTTTTTTCGCGCCACGAGTCACAGTTACAGTCACAACTCCCACTAGTTCTGCCTTACCGACGCAGACAGATTTGATCCTTTTCATTTGATTTAATTTGGAGGAAAGTGTTACCTGTTTCGTATCACTTAAAATAATTTCATCATAAAATTTTTCATTTCTTTTTCAGTTCAGATAATTCTTTTTTACGAAATATTTAATCGTAGTTGTTGATTTTTCTGGTAGGAGTAAACTAAGCAAAAAGGGAACTTCCATGTTTTTGTTCTAATCGAAAGTCTTATTTAGAGCGTTATTCAACTCAAATTTCAAGCTACTCAAACTTGTCTCGAGTAGTTGGACAGCTTGAGAAAATAGAACACGTAACGACGCGAAGACAAAGAAATACGAGAAGCATAGATTCGACACAAGTTCGCGGTCCCGTTATGCCGGGAGCACCGCGAAGAAACATTTTCAGGTGATCGAGGAGGTACTCCTTGGCCGCCAGGACTCTTCAATGTTGCTATGCCACCTTTTACAGTCGAGCGATCACGATATCTCGGAACGAAGGAGCGTTTTCTTGCGCGATATACTCTTCCCCTTGCAGAAAGTGTTGCAATCAGAGTCGTCGATCGTTGCAGGAATTGTTTGCGTACACTTTAAAAACTGTACTGTAGAATTTCTTACAAATATTGATCTTTTCTTAATATTCGCATCATCCTTTAAAAAACTAAAACTGTTTCGATACGTTTTTAAACATCTATTAGGGAGGCACTTAAAACAATTTATAAAAAAAGAAACTGTTTTACCAACCAAGTTACATTTGGAGAATGCCGTTGTAGGGGTCGTTAACTCGAGGATCTAATTGTTAGAAGATAGTCAAATATCTTTTACAAGCGTATTTGTTTTTTTGACTGCCAATTGTTTTCATAGTGATTGCACAAAAATGGCAAATTATTGGAGATACACCCTGTATTATTATATCACTGAAACAACCTATCAGACAGCGTTTTATCTTGAGTGTATGATAATAAACCTTCCTTTTCTGCGTTGTAATTTAGAATATTGCATTATATATTGAAACGATATCTTGAGCAAAGGGGGGAATGACTTATTACTGAGAAATCGTTGAGCGTTAAACTAGCCAAAGATTTCGCAGTTTTCTTTCAAGCTGCGTTAGTGATTTAATTAAGTTTAGTAATGACGGTGTTACGGTAACCAATTAATCTCGTAGCGTCGATAATGATTACGTCGAGACGGGTTTGATAGTTTCGTTTGTTCGATAGAAATGTTCAACCTTAATTGCAGAATGCTTAACAAGATATGCATCTATTATAAGGGTTTTCGTTTCCAGAGGTGGCGAGCGTGACAAGTAGGTCAGACACGAAATATTGGATTATAGCGAGCTAGCCACGGTCCTTCGACACATTTCCCTCATACAAATTAATTAAAACGTACCACCGTGGAAAAAATGTATATCTAAAAATGTTCAGGAGACATGTTTTTATTACTTTAACTTGTTAACCGGCCGATTTCTCCGATCATGAACACTTATGAGGGCGTGTAATTCAAGGCGAACAAAACTAATAACTGTAACACGTAAACGAGATATAGGTTACAGTAAATATAGACACCGTGCTATAATAAATGGCAGGAATTATTGTTAGTATAATAAATGAAAAAATCAAAATTATTCGAAATATGAAAGTACCTTGTATTTCACGGATCAGAGGGGATTCTGTAGTCAGGGTCAGCTATAATGTCAGTAAATACAGAGATTTCGTTCCTTTGCATTCGCCGATAGAGAGTTCGTTCGCAGATAAATCGTATCCGCGTACAATAGAAAACGTTCTAAATCAAAGAAACGAATCGCATGTTTAAACATCTATTTCTGCAAGCATACTCGATGCCCTGTACATGCGAGTGAGCGCGGTGTATATCTGAGGTCAAGAATCCGGTACCTCGCTCTACCTCAAGATACATTTGTCGTGAGTAGGTTTGCGATCGCGTATTTTTTGTACGACGTTTTACTTGATTTATGGATGTATTAAAAAAGAAATTGAAATATATATTGAATTATTATGTACGAGTATTTTTATCAATACCCCTGGTAATACATGATACTTTTACACTAGAAGGAAAAAATGTAGTCAAATCATTCATTTCATTAGAGCTCAAACACCTATATGAATATGTTTGCAAACAATTTTTGTTGTCATTTTTTAATACCTGTTACTATAATCTATGTTATATTTTTTCAGTATCCAATAACAATACTCTATGATCCTACTCGCAAGAAAGAATTACCAACAGGGGTATCTCCACAGTATGGCCAGGAAAAAGAAATTTGTATGAAACTATTTGAGAGATGGAGCGAACCAGAACAAATTAACTTTGTTGAACAATTGCTAGCACGAATGAGTCACTACCAACATGGACACATCAATGCTTACCTAAAACCAATGTTGCAGAGAGATTTTGTATCTTTATTACCAAGTAAATATTTCTATCGGTTTGTTACTGTTAGAATATTGTAGTAATTACTCTAATCACAAGTCTAATAAAAAGTGTTTTGCTCTGTTTTTAGAAAAAGGATTGGATCATGTGGCTGAAAGTATTCTTTCTTATCTGGACGCGGACTCGTTAATTGCGACAGAATTAGTGTGTAAAGAATGGCACCGAGTAATTAGCGAGGGAATGCTTTGGAAAAAATTAATCGAGCGAAAAGTTCGGACCGATTCAATTTGGAGAGGACTCGCCGAGAGGAGGGGATGGTTTGTTGATGTCTTGTACTTTGTTATTTCAAACTCATTATGTAGCACAGTCAACATACATACAGATTTCATGAAAGAAGACACTATAATTCTATGGAACTATTGTACACTACAGGTATTTGGTTTCATTTTACTTTCAGGATTCAATATTTATTCAAACCAAGACCAGGACAAAGTCATCCAAATCACAGTTTCTATAGATCTCTATATCCTAGAATAGTTAAAGATATTGATAGTATAGATAACAATTGGAGAATGGGAAGATTCAATCTTCAAAGAATAAACTGTAGAAGTGAAAATTCTAAAGGTGTTTACTGTTTGCAATACGACGACCAGAAAATAGTCTCTGGTCTTAGAGACAATACCATTAAAATTTGGGATAGAAACACTCTACAGTGTATTAAAGTCTTAACAGGACATACTGGTTCTGTTCTGTGTCTACAATACGACGATAAAGCAATAATATCTGGTTCCTCTGATAGCACTGTAAGAGTTTGGGATGCTAATACTGGTGAAATGCTAAATACATTGATACATCATTGTGAAGCAGTTCTACATCTTAGATTTAATAATGGAATGATGGTCACCTGTTCAAAGGTGAACAAACATTTTCTTAAACGTTCTTCTGTTTGCGTTACTATAATCTAAATAAAATTAACTTTCCTCGTTTTCAGGATCGTTCAATAGCTGTATGGGACATGACATCGCAAACAGAAATTGCATTAAGAAGAGTTCTAGTGGGACACAGGGCCGCAGTTAACGTTGTTGATTTCGATGAAAAATATATTGTGTCTGCTAGTGGTGATAGGACTATCAAAGTATGGAGTACATCTACTTGCGAATTTGTGCGAACATTGAATGGACATAGGCGTGGTATAGCGTGTTTGCAGTATAGGGACTGCTTAGTAGTTAGTGGTAGCAGTGACAACACAATCAGATTATGGGATATTGAATGTGGTGCGTGCTTACGTGTTCTAGAGGGACACGAAGAATTGGTCAGATGTATTAGATTTGATAGTAAACACATTGTTAGTGGAGCCTATGATGGGTGAGTAAAAAGAAAATTATCACAAACTTTTATATGTACCGCGTTTCATGCAAATGTAATAATGTTTGACTATTTTTTATTTTAGCAAGATTAAAGTGTGGGATTTAGTAGCAGCCTTAGATCCGCGTGCTTTAGCCAACTCGCTTTGTTTACGTACATTAGTGGTAAGATATTTTTCATATTTTACTTTAATACCAAGAGGAATTCATTCTAATCTTTGCATCATTATAGGAGCATACAGGACGTGTATTCCGCCTTCAGTTCGACGAGTTCCAAATAGTATCGTCATCACATGATGATACAATACTAATTTGGGATTTTCTTAATTTTACTCCATCAAATGGAAGTATATCACACGGGCCGTCAATAAATGCATCTGGTACAAACCATACAGACACCAGATCACCATCTCGTGAGTATTAAAAAAGAGTGATTATTTAATAAAATATTTTAAAATATATAAAATAATTCAGGCGATACAGTTAAATAACTCACCTTGTATATTTGCATTCGTTAATCTTGTATATGCTATTTTACAGCATTTGAGTGATGCAGTAATACGAAGATTCCTTCATTGTGATATAACTGTAAGTATAATATGTAGAAACTTATTTATTGTCTTAGGATGATAAGATTTATATAAATTCTTTTTGTAAAAATATTGCTGTATAAATTACGTTTTATAAATAACCATTTACCCTGTTGTATTAATAGCCGGCCTTTCTTAAATTTGGTTCGTCATAGAAAGCGTACGAAAATATGCTAAGTTAATGTGTACACTTTATTTCAGACAAGTGGTTAGTGAGTGAATTTCAATGTGTTCACAATAGTGTACGCAAAGAATGAAGAATCAGTGTCCACTGTGAACAACGGCTAAACAGAAACAGAATCTCAAAAGGACATGGTCATTGACTTTTGTTTATTATTTGCTGTGAAAAGCAAACATAATCCTCTAAAATAGGAGATACGGAGTGACACGTAAAACACTATGAATTAATTTATACGCGCTTGACGCACTGCGTTTAGTAATGAACATTATGACGAAACACGTAAATACATCCCATGGATGTAAATGATTGTCTGCTTTGGCCATATCTGGAATTCTTCTACGCTCTATGATATGATAGAAGTTGACCACTTTCCTACTATGAAAGAAAAAAAAAAGACTTACGATACGTAAACAAAATGAAAATGTTTTTAGGGAGGCTGGATATACTTAATAAGATGTTAGCTGTATTATAGTAAATTAATAATTTTTTTGTGTAATTAATTTATGGTAAGAAAATTGTAAAATGTCGTTTGATTGGAGTACTTATCCTGTGTGAATGTGACAAAAAATAAGGTATTAATATGTGGAAGGATTATGATAACCCTCACGTTTCATTATCTTCGAGAAAAACTAGCTAATGTGAATCATTATACCCATGTTTAGCATTATAAATGTACAGCCGTTAATCGAACATGTAGCAGTTTCCATAGACATTAATTTTACGAGATTCATATTATATACTGAAAAGTACACGAAAAGTTAACTGTCTGTATACAGCTATTGGTACAATACCATTTGCATTTAAAATATAAATTTTCATTATACCAAGATGTAAATATTAATTCATATAAAAGCACTATAGTGACTTTGAGTTAATCATAGCATTGTAAAGGAATTATGTATTATGTTCTGACTGATGATCTCCGATAGATCATATTTTTCAGTGTTTAAGTTTTTATTAGTCACATTTTTTTTGCACTTAACTTATAAGCACGTTTCAA